CTCCTCTGTCCCCAGACATCTGTTGAGTGTTGTAAGAAGAAGGGGGGGATGCCACACAGTGGTTAAAAATGGACTTGTCCCAACTTTTTTGGGATTTGTTGACGCTATGAAATTTGGAAACAACAGATTTTTCCCTTAAAATGATACATTCTCTCAGTTTAAACTTTTGATCTGTGATTTGTGTTCTATTCTGAATAAAATATTAGATGTTGGCACCTCCACATCATTGCATTCAGTTTTTACACACAATTTTTTTAGTGTCCCAACTTTTTTGGAATCCGGTTTGTAATATAACTCCTAAAACTGCTAAAACTTGATGCCACTCCATTTTTGTTTTTATTTCCAGAAGAAGAAGAAGTGTCTTCAGAGGTTTTTGTGTCGTTTCTTTCAGTAGTTCTTGGTGCAGCGCCCCCACAGGCGAGCTGGGGAATAGGTTGGTTCAACAGGTTGGCTCGACTGCACAGTGCAGTGTGAATGCAAACGCACCAGCTCAAATGTAAACAAAAGGTCATGAATATTGGTCCCGAACCGAATCTACCGGATTATCAGGTGTGAAAACAACCTCAGCCTTATAACCTGAGGCCCTATTTACACAGACACGATGGGGGGAAACATAGTTTTTTTTAAATATGTTAATTAGAGGAAAAGATTTGCATTGACACGTTCGGATTTTGGTTTACGTGCATCCGGAGGATCTCCCCCCCCGCCCTCCCGAATCTGCTGTAGTTACCATGCCGGGTCATTAGATAGCGCTGTGAATTTTGTACCTTCACCTAATGCGCATGCGTTCTGCCTCGGCACACTTCTTTCCTGTGAGCTAATCAGCTAACGACAACATAACTACAAGTTAAAGGTGGATTTTGGATGAGAGTCGACAGATTTGACGTCAAGCGGGACTGCTTCGTCTAACAGCTCCACACCAGTCGCTGAGTGAACCAGAACCGAGTCAATGTTGGACTTTACTCCGTGATAATCAGTAGCTGTTTTACAGCAGGTAAATCAACGTTCTTAAAAATGTTAGTTTGTGTTTACTTCGGTTACAAAACAGCCAACTGAGTTTTTATTTTTTCCTGAAAGAAGAAGAAGCTGTCCTCCCACCAGGCGGACCGGTTCTGAACGAGGCTCGGCCCAGATGAACTGCAGGAGGACGTCGAAGAGAGAGATGTTGGATGAACTATTTATTTAAAATTCCCCTCAGTTGTTTTATTCAATCCATTCAAGTTCAGTTCACGTGTTTTAATAGTGTGTTCAGTTTAATTATCAGTGTTCGTGTGACATATAGTTTGTGGTGTTGAATAAATAAATAAAAATTAAACCTGATGTCTTCATTTTCAACTTTAGTGTTCACGCTATATGTTTAGCATCATTTTAAATTTGAATTACATAATGTCAAGATATCTTCATTTAGCTCAGAGCTTCATTATATCTTGCACATTAACATAAATGCTGTTTATTATTATTAAACTGTTATTATTTATCACATTTATGTTATAGTGCAGTGCGACGTGTGTGCGTGCCTCGTTCTATAAACAGCGACATTAGAACTGGATCAGACTGTGTCTCTTCCAACACAGATGTCGGTCACAGCACCTGGAATCTGACGTAGATTAACTATGAGATTAAAAATATATTCCATCAGTCGTAGTTCTGAAAGCAGTGTGTCCGCCGCCATGTTGATAGAAATATAGCGTCTGTCCGCGCGTGCGTATGTGGTTTAACACAAAGCCTCAGCGGGACATGTTTACATTATCAGCGGGGGGTCAGCGAAAAACCTCCACTCTGGAAGGTGGGTTCAGAAACCTCCGGATTCAAAGAGGGGGGCCACTGGTGTCGTGTACATGATCAGCAGAACCGCAGAGAGAAATCTGTGGATGCACTCAAAATACGCACCGTGTAAACGGCCCCTGAATCTCTCACTCTCTGCTGTTTGAATTGAGAAAGCTCCTCAGATGAGGAGCGAAACGTCTTCTGTTACAAATAAAGTCCATTTGTTTTTGTATTGAACACTTTTTGAATTCATCATGTCCTGGATGACTGAGAATCTTCACCAGCATGTTCATTACTAATAATCAGTTGATTAATGATGTTCTCCCTGTAATTTACCACCATGTCAGTGATTGTACTTGAAGCTTAACGCTTTGCCCACTTGTGTCCGACTGTGTGATGAGTGGCCTGAGCAGATGTGACTCGGCCGGGCGGTTGAGTTAAAGAGCAGGAGACCAGGCCTTGTAGGCCACCACGACCTGCTTATTCTCTCAGTGCCCAGGATAATCCAACGTTTTTAATGCTTATACTTTTCTAACGAGAGCACAGAGTTGTGTTTGTAAAGCATGTGTCTGTGTTTTGTTGTACTTTAGCCGATGGAAGTGTTTGTGGACGATGAGACCAAGCTGACACTTCATGGCTTACAGCAGTATTACTGCAAGTTGAAGGACAGTGAGAAGAATCGAAAGCTCTTTGAACTTCTCGATGTGCTCGAGTTCAACCAGGTACCTTTGGAGTTTATTTAAAAGTAAAAACAGGATGTATTGGTTGTTAAATCTTTAAAAAGGATTTCTTAGCTAAACCTGTGCCTTGTTTTATTCTTAGTCATCTCCAAAGTGGCCGTGTGGTTTGGTTTGACAGGTGGTGATCTTTGTGAAGTCTGTGAATCGCTGCATGGCTCTGTCCCAGCTGCTTGTGGAGCAGAACTTCCCTGCTATTGCAATCCACAGGAGCATGGCACAGAAGGAGAGGTGAGAGCTGCTTCACGGATGCGTACGTACGCGTGTACTGTACGCAGAGGGTTCAGGCCTGAGTTTAATTCGCTCGTGACAAATTCCTTCATTTCTCACCATTTCAGTCATGGCATCAACGGAGGAGGAAGAGATCACTGCCTCTTGGCAAAAAACAAAAGAAAAGGCCAGATCAGGGATGAAGAAGGGGAATTTAATTCATTGGTGTCGCATACAAAACAGTCCGTCGCTGGGCAGTTTATTGTGCGACACCGCGTACGCGTATGCGGTCGTAAAAATTTGAGCTTTGCACAGACATGCCCTGGGGGGTACGCACGTACCTCTGCGTACGTATGTGCGTACCTCTGCGTATGGATGTACGTGGCAGTATACTGGGGGCTTTACCGTGGGCTTTTCTTCTTCTTAGGTTTAGCTTTAAGAGGCACTTCTAAGACTGGCATCTCTTCTACATTTCTGATGAGTCCCCTTAGACCTTGGAATTATATTTTCATAATGGGCCCAAATTATTATTATAATGAAATAATTTTGCCATGGTTTTAGATATCTTGTTCCAAAAAATTCATACAGAGTGATTAAATTAACTATTCTCCATTTGTATTTTTATAAGTCTAGAATAAATTGAGTTTACTGGACTGTAATTAATAATCTTGTTTTTTCTGTCACTTTAACTGGTTCCTGAGTAAATGGTTTTACCAAGAACCATCAGACCAACCACAAAATGACCTCTCACTAAATTTGGACATCTGCAAACATTTCACCTTTAAATTTACCATAAGAAAACTTAGTATCATGTAGATAAAATGAACTCAGGCAGACACTGTAGCTGCCAAAGCTACAGCTGTTTGTCTGAGTCAGAGATGTGAAAACTAAGGGCTGACTGAAAGGACATTAGAGTGAAACTCCTTTGAGCATTTAAAAAAAAAAAAATTTTAATCTCTTTTTGTTTTAAATGTCAGAGAAAAGTCGCTTTGGAGTTGTGAGACTTCCACTCAATGAGAAATCTTTGAATGTTTTAGTCTTGGAGAATCTCCTGGTCTGAGATCTTGTCACTGTGTTGTGACACCCTCTTTATTATTGAGCTGAGTTTGACATAAGATTAGCTAAACTGATAAAAGCTATTCATAAATTTGTGTATGATATGTACAGCTGAAACCAGATGTTTACATACACTATTTAAAAACACATGCATTTTTTTTCACACACTCTGACGTGAAATCAGAATAAACTTACAATTGTATGTCATTTAGATTTACCAAAATGTTTTCTATTTGCAAAATGCCAGAATAATGAGAGTGAGAATTTTTAAGGCAATTTTTGTTACTTTCTTCCAAGTCAAAAGTTTAAATACACTTCATTAGTATTTGGTACCTTTGTCCTTAAACTGTATGACTTTAGTCAAACGTTTTGGATAGCCTTCCACAAGCTTCTCACAATAGTTGGCAGGTTTGGCCCATTCCTCCTGACTGAACTGGTGTAACTGGACCATGTTTGTAGGCTGCCTTGCTCGCACATGCTTTTTCAGCTTTGCCCATAAATTGTCTATAGGATTGAGATCAGGACTTTGTGATGGCCACTCCAAAACAGTGACTGTGTCCTCCTTGAGCCACTTTGTAACCAGTTTGGCAGTATGCTTCGGGTCATTGTCCATTTAGATGACACAATCTTTAACTTCCTGGCTGATGTCTTGAGATGTTGCTTCAGTATTTCTACATAATGTTCTTTCCTCATGGTGCCATCTATTTTGTGAAGTGCACCAGCCCCTCCTGCAGCAAAACAACCCCACAACATAATGCTGCCACCCCCGTGTTTCACAGTGTGTTCTCAGGCTTTTTCCTCCAAACGTAGCGATGGGCATTATGGCCAAACAGTTCAATTTTAATTTTGTCAGACCACAGGACATGTCTCCAGAAACTAAGGTCTTTGTCCCTGTGTGCATTTGCAAACATTAATCTGTTTTTTTATGTTTCCTTTGAAGTAATGGCTTCTTCCTGCAGAGTGGCCTTTCAGCCCATGTCGATACAGTTTTGCTGTGGATAATGACACAACTCTTACCAGTTTCAGGCAGCACCTTCACCAGGTCTTTTCTTTTGTTCTTGGGTTGACATGCACATTTCGGACCAAAGCACGTTCGTCTCTGGGACACAGAACCCGTCTCCTTTCTGAGCGGTATGATGGCTGGACATTCCCATCTTGTTTGTACTTGCGTATAATTGTTTGTACAGATGAACGAGGCACATTCGGGCATCTGGATATTGCATCCAACGATGAACCAGACCTGTGCAAGTCCACAATTCTCTTCCTGATATGTTGGCTGATTTCTTTCGACTTACACAAGGAAGCAGTGTGTTTTAGGTGTTCCTTAAATTACATCCACAGGTGTGTCTCTAATTAACTCAGATGTTATCAATAAGCCTATCAAGCTTCCAAAGACATAACATCAAATGTCCCAAATTGTTTAAAGGCATAGTTATTAGTGTATTTAAATTTTTGACTTTTGAAGAAAGTAATAAAAATTGCCTTCAAACATTCTCACTCATTATTCTGGCATTTTTCAAATAGAAAAAAAAAAGGTAATCCTTACTGACCTAAAACGGGAAAATTTTATTCTGATTTCACGTCAGATAGTGTGGAAAAATGCATGCGTCTTTTTAGATGGTGTATGTAAATTTCTGGTTTCAACTGTATTTGTTCTGCCCTGCTCCAGGTTATCCCGGTACCAGCAGTTTAAAGACTTCCAAAGGCGGATTCTGGTGGCAACCAACCTGTTCGGCCGAGGCATGGACATCGAACGAGTCAACATCGTGTTCAACTACGACATGCCGGAGGATTCGGACACGTACCTTCACAGAGTCAGTTCAGTTCTATAATAAGTTTATTAGTGACAAACATTTGTATAATTTTTGAATCAACTACAAAGAAATTTGCAAATAGTTTGATGCTTGCATAAAACTTATTTTGTATGAAACTATAGCATTGTGTTAAATAGAGAAGTGTTAGCATAGTTTCTTTCATCCAGTCTGTTCTTTGAGCCTTAACTTTCTTCTTGACCACAGGTGGCCCGTGCCGGCAGGTTTGGAACCAAAGGTCTGGCCATCACTTTTGTATCAGACGAGGCCGATGCCAAGACCCTGAACGAAGTCCAAGATCGCTTCGAGGTCAATGTAGCCGAGCTCCCTGATGAGATCGACATCTCTTCTTACAGTAAGTTTCCCTTTTACAGACATTTGCCAAGGTCTTTACAAAGTAAAGTACAAAAAAGAACTCCATGAAGTAGATTTTAGTATTTTCCAGGTTTGAATAGTTTTCAGAATAATTTCAGCTGCAATTAGTAACCATAATAACCGTTTTTGATTCATCTCCCATATCCAGCCTTGAGTTTTTGAGTTACTGAATGAGAATCCTCACAGCTTTACAAGTTTTATTGGTGACCGTGCCCCAGATGGTGAAGGTTTGCAGTTCAGTCCACTGCCAAGTTATAGAAGAGATACAACTGGGGATCATCAACCATTTGTTACAGAAACAGGACACTAATGTTGATTCACAGGTAGCTCAGCCATAAAGTATATAAAGCTTTCTGAATTTTACTGTGAATGGGAGCATAGCTTTACCAGGTGAACATTATTTAAAAACCTTTTTTCCTCCCTTACCTTGGAAATATTATTCTCTTCCGTCCAACTATTGTGCACTTTGTTTTACTTTAGTGTTTCAAGCATGCAGATAATAACCCATACCTTTATACCAACATTTACTGTGGTTCTTAGGTCTGGAAATGCTTAGAAATTCATAGAAATTGCTAAAAGTTAAGTATAGCATTTCAAAATGGAAAACGTTAAAACCGTTGTTTATTTCTGTCATGTGGTGGAGGGCATGTAAAGGGCATCTGGTTAGAATAGTTAAAAATGAATGCAGCATTTGAAGGAATTCATGTCACTCGCTGTCTTGCATGGGAAAGTTTTGCACAAAGATCTTGTGTGACCTGTTAGTGCTCAGAAGACATGTTAGGCATGATGCTCAGGTACTACCATGCCAGCTTCTAGCTCAAAATCTGTAAAACTGAAAGAGTTATAGCCATCTTTTGATGCAGGTGATTCTGTGCTGCTTGAAGGACCTTACATCTGCTTTTGACACCATCAACTACGAGATCCTCATTTCTAGACTGGAGCAGTGGGTGGGCATCACAGGGTCAGCCTTCAAATGGTTTAGATCCTACCTCTGACAGAACCTTTTGTGTCAACATTAAGGATTGTAGTTCATGATCTGCAACTTTTCTGTGGGGGATACCACCAGGGTCCATCCTCGGTCCTCTTCTTTTTTATTTATACCTGCTGACATTAGATGCCATTTTCCGTAAACATAACATACCCTTTCATTTCTACACCAGTGACTGTCAAATTTACTTCCCTCTGAAGCACAGAGGTGCACGTTCTATTCAACCTCTTCTTGACTGCCTGGCTAACATCAGGGACTGGATGTCTTTAAATTTCTTAAGCTTTAATGAGAAGACTGAGGTCAGAGTCAGAGTCAGAGTCAGAGTTTCTTTATTGTCATTCGCACCTCATGTGGTACATGTGGTGGAGCGAAATTATGTACACAGGGTCCCAGTTACATCCAACAATAAAATGTATAAGAAAAACAGTAATAACATCTAAGATATGAACTAAGAAAAACATCAACTAAATATACACTAAGCACTCATAACATAAAACATTGAACATCACCACAAACATGAACATGAGTCTGTGAGCAGATGTGCACGCATGAACACATCAACATTGAAACAGATCAGCAGCAACATGAAACAGATCAGCAGCAACATGATATGGTTTTTCACAGTGATTATTCTAGTTAGAGATTCATGAGTCTAACAGCCTCAGGGTAGAAGCTGTTCCTCAGTCTAGTGGTTCTACACTTAATGCTCCTTAACCTCCTTCCTGAGGGGAGTGGGGCAAAAAGTGTGTGTGCTGGGTGGGTGGGGTCCTTCATGATGCAGGTGGCCCTCTTCCTGCATCTGGAGGTGTAGATGTCTGTGATGGTGGGGAGACTGACTCCAACAGATTTCTGTGCAGCCTTCACCACTCTCTGCAAAGCTTTTCTTTCTGCAGCTGTGCAGCCTCCATGCCACACATTGATGCTCGAGCACAGGATGCTCTCCACTGCACACCTGTAGAAGGAGGTGAGGACTGAGCTTCCCAGACCAGCTCGCCTCAGCCGTCTGAGGAAGTAGAGTCTCTGATGAGCTTTCTTGATCAGGCTGGTGGTGTTGTTGCTCCAGCTGAGGTTGTCATTCATGTGTACACCCAAGTACTTGTAGCTGGAGACCACTTCCACCGCAGATCCTCTTATGTTCAGGGGGGTGTAGGTGTTTTTGTTCCTTCTGAAGTCCACAATCATCTCCTTTGTCTTCTTCACATTGATGTGAAGGTTATTCTCTCTGCACCAGCTCTCCAGGTGTTCCACCTCCTGCCTGTAGCTGGACTCATCATTGTTTGTGATGCATCCCACCACCGCTGTATCATCTGCAAACTTTACAATGTGACAGCCTGGATGGGTAGCTGCACAATCATATGTGAGCAGAGTAAACAGGAGGGGGCTCAACACACATCCCTGAGGAGAGCCAGTGCTGAGGGTTATGGTGGAGGAGGAGAGGTTGTGGATCCTCACTAACTGTGGTCTGTTTGTTAAAAAGTCTAGTACCCAGTTGCAGATGGAGGGGCTTAGTCCTAGTGTGGATAGTTTGTCCATCAGGGTTTGGGGGATCATGGTGTTGAAGGCGGATGTGAAGTCCACAAAGAGCATACGGACGTAAGAGTTTTTCTGCTCCAGGTGGTTGAGTGCAGTGTGGACCACAGAGGAGATTGCATCCTCTGTTGATCGGTTCTCACGGTATGCGTACTGATGAGGGTCCTCGTTGATGTTGATGGTTGTTTTGATGTGAGTCATGACCAGTTTTTCGAAGCATTTAGCGACTATCGGGGTGAGGGCCACTGGCCGATAGTCATTCAGACCAGTCACTGTAGAGCTTTTTGGGACTGGGATGATGGTGGCAGTCTTCAGGCAGGTGGGAACTGTCTCCAGGGTAAGTGAGGTGTTAAAGATGTCTGCCAGCACCTCACAGAGCTGATCAGCACATTCCTTCAACACTTTTCCGGGGATGTTGTCTGGGCCAGTTGCTTTGTGCGGATTAATCCTCCTGAAGGTACTCCTTACTTCTGCTGAGGTCACGCTGAGATGCTCTTCATCCGGTGGTGAGGTGAGTCTGGTGCTGGGTGGTCTGTTCGGGTCTTCAAAGCGTGCATAGAACTTGTTTAGGGCATCAGGCAGAGATGGGTCTTTGGGACATTGTTCACTCCTTCCTTTATAATCTGTTATGCACTTAATGCCCCTCCACATGCTCCGAGGGTCTTGTGAGATGAATTGACCCTC